ATTTTTCAATAGAATTAGGGGTGAGCGTGATCCGGATTGGATCGGATTGGGGTAAAACCAAAATCAATCCGTTATCTACGGTTCCTGAAAAATTGGAATCAATTCAATCCGTTTAAATCATGGGACCAATCCGAACCAATCCATTTAAATACGAATTGGATCGGTTTAGGACCACGGATTCACATAATTAAATAACAAAATATATATATATATAACACTTTAATTTCATAAAAATATAAATATAACGCTATATTAGTTTCACAATAGTAACATATTTTTCTGTAATAACGACATACTGTTCTAGAATTTAAACAACCATAAGAAAACTGGTTTTACCATAAGTATTTAGACCATTACAAATTAAAACTAAAAACTATCAAGCAAAAATAATAAAAGAAGATATTATACGGTTTTAGGTTTGAGTTTAGATTTTATATAGAATAAGAGAAGATACTATGGGGAAGGATGTATAATAAAAATATAGATTATTTGTATATGGTCTGGATCGGTTTCAATCCGGAACCGTGGGGTTCAATCCGGAACCAATCCATGGACTACGGATTTTTAATTCTTCAATCCGGAACCGAACCACGGATTTAAAAAATCAATCCAAACCTATCGGATTAGACTGGACTGGATCGGATTACAAATTTCATGGATTCCTTACTCAGCCCTAAATAGAATGCTCGAGTTTTGGGTTGATTTTTTAAGTGATTTTTTTTGAAAAAAACTTTTTAATGTGAATGAAAAAGTTTTACTTTTGTGACCTTTGACATTTATAACTTAGGGCAAATAACATAAAAAAACTTTTTAAAATTTTATTAGTGGAAAACTTTTTTTAGGAAGTCTTCCCAAATGTCAACATAGTGTTTATATTTTCAATCAATATATTTATCATTAATTTTAAAATTTTAAAAATATCATTAATACATAATTTTTTATTATCTTTCTATAATCATGTGTTTGCAAAACATTTTACTATTTTAATTGTCAAATAATGATGTTACTATAATCATATTTTTCTTAATTATGTTGTATTTTTTTTCCGGGTACATTGGAATAAAAACCAAGTTTAAACAGGGCTAAGCCCTTCCGTGGCTTTACCCATCATGTCCCAAACCACTAGTTCTCTGATTTCAGTTGGGGAATCATTCACAGCAAGAATGTCTTCAGCTTGATTAGCTCCAAACTTAGGTTTCGTTTATTTTAGTAATTTTTTTATTTTTTATGAAAAGATATAAAAAAAAAAATAAAAAGAATGATATGACAACTTATAATAATTTTTTGACTTTACAACTAAAATGTATAGTTAATAAGAAGCCTTAGCTAATGCATACACAAGTTTCACTCGCTCAGGATATGTTGAGCAGAACATTGACA